TTAATTGTGACTGTATTTTCTCTGTATGTATCACTATTTCTTTTATATGCCAATTGAAGTTATGAGCTCTCTGATTGGTTACAAAAACTAGATGTAGGGACAGCTTATTTCTTCCACAATAAGTGGTACAATACATTGTTGTTGTTTGTTGTTGTTGTTGTGTACCTTCAAGTTGTTTCCAACTTATGGCAACCCTATCATGAGGTTTTCTTGGCAAGTTTCTTCAGGGGGAGTTTGCCATTGCCATTGAGGGTGAGAGAGTATGACTTGCCCAGGGTCACCCAGTAGGTATCATACTACCTGTATATTTTGCCCACCAATATTCACTCTGTTAGAGTTGGGGTATGTATGGTCTACACACTGCATGGGTGCCCCAACCCCATTTGTTGTGGCCCTTGGTATCCACCAGGACACAACCACAAGCCTTCAATTACATTTTTGTCTCCAGATCACAGAAGGAATTTAAAAAATGATTCACAACGTAACAGTTTTACTGTCCCACCTTCTCCAATCCTCCATTCTCACCCAAGTTAAAGAATAGCCAAAAATGAAACCACAAATGACATTTCATCACTTCCAATTTCAACACAGCAATACGGTGCAGCCCCACATTGCTGGACTGTAGATGTAACCTCCCCCTCACCCCAACCAGCATGTCCCTGTTTCCCACTCCTATTATAAGAGGTAATAACTTCTGCTATTAAAAAAGAAAAATCCTGAAGAATATGGATCAGCTAATGGTCCACACGGGCCCAAGTAGCATGTTCGGAATCCAAGGTAACCCCCCACCAAAAAAAAATAAAATAAAATAAAAAATAGGGATATATAGCAATATTAAGTATGGAATCTTCAGACTTGAATGGACACAGATATCTCCAACATTAAATATATACAGTCACTGATCAATCAATTGATTGCTTGATCTTTTAAAAAGAATTCTTCACTCACTTCAGGCTTCTTGATTTCCTCAGTCACATAGTTCAGGTTGTTCCATCCATCAAAAGACCAAAGCCCTTGATAAAATGCAATCCCAATGATCCCAGCCCCTGTATTTGTGTTCTGGAAGGCATTTTGAAAACTCTGTGTATGGCCCTGAACAAGCAAAACAATTCCTCCCACTATGATGACCAACAAGGCCAACAGTTTGGCCACTGTGAATACATTCATAACAGAGGTGGCTAGCTTCACGCTGAGACAGTTGACCAAAGTTAAAAGTAGGATGCAGGTCATGGCTGTGCATTTGACTGCCAGCCGAGGTGAAGAGCAGCCTGGATAAAAGGGGGCTACAGCATATTCAGCAAAACTCAAAGAGACAGCTGCCACGCTGGCAGGTCTCACCACAATGACAGAGGTGAATATGAAAAGAAAAGCCGGGAAAGAGCCAAAGTTCCTCAGAATGTAAATATATTCACCCCCGGATTCTTTAATTAAGGTTCCCAATTCAGCATATGACAATGCCCCAAAAGTAGCCAGCAAGCCACAGGCTGTCCAGATAATGAGACTACCCCCAGGGCTACCAATGTTACGCAGCACCCATTCCGGGGACATAAAAATTCCTGAGCCAATCATCGTTCCAGCAATTAATGACACAGCGCTGGTCAGTCCGATCTCTCGCTTCAGCTTCAAGACCTCTGTCACTTCACTGAGTTCAGTCGATGACCCATGTGCCTTTGGTCTTCGCTTTCTCATCATCTTGGAACAGACAGAGTGTGTTTCTCCAGCGAGGCTAGAAGTGGCCGCGATACAGATTGCTATGAATACATATATACTTCAAGTTAATGATTGCAGGTAATAAGCCAAAAGCAGTGCCATGTCTGCCTCTTGCACTTGGTGGTTCTTCAAGCCTTTCCTTGTAGCAGCTTGTTCGAGATATTCTGCTTCTTAGAGGCAGGGTGGGGTAACACAAGATTATACCCTTTTGGCCAAAATCCTGCTGTGTGTCTTCATCTTGACTTCTAGCAAAGCAGGTCCCTGGGGTTTTTTGGGGGGTCACAGGCAGTTTAGTTGATTTCTGGTTCACATGGGAGAGACAGTACAGTAGATAAATTACTACCACAATGTACTTTACTCTTTGTTACTGATTAATAAAAACAGCTTGAAGAAAGTTCACACCAAGCAGCTACCAATGTTGTTTCAGTTAATGGCTCAAAGGCTGCATCTGAATTGCATAAATAATCCAGTTTGAATCCCTTTAACTGCTATGTCTTAATGCTATGGAATTGTCAGTGTGTGGATGATGGGTGTTGCAGTTATGCTCTTTGACACCCAGCAGAATCTGCAGGACAAGCTGGATGCTGTGATCCACAGCCACTTTGTAACTCTTGCCATCAACTGGCTCAGCTTCCCTTCTTCAGGATCCTGTCTTCCTCAGTCAAGAAGACACATTGCAAAGTCCAAAAGTGTAGTTTATTAATGCATATAAAAAAAAAATAAGATAGCTAAGTAAAATCCATTGTGATGAACTTGTCCAGTTCAGCCATGAAAGATTACATCTTTAACAATCCCAAAAGCTTAGGATCCCAACTTGTTGCAGTTGAAACCACTGCTGGCAGGCAGGCTCACATGCAATCACATCTTGAAATAATAAACATTCTTAAACAAAGGCTTCTCTAGGCCCTTCCCATACTCCACCTTCTAGGTGTTAACCTTATATTAATTGGATAATGTTGGTATGATGTATATTAACCCAGCCTCTTGCTGTCCATCATCCACCACGTGGTTTTCTTTCCCAACCTAACAATGTTTACCTTTTTTGATATCTCTTGTTTTCCATAACAAAGCCTGTGTCTATGAGTTGTACCTTTGGAAAAGTATATGTTTATGTCTTCTTGGCCATCTGGTGTTAGATTCACTTTGTTTCTCTAGATGTTGTTCTTATGAGGAAAATTCCACACACACATCTCTACATTTCACCTTTGACTGTATAACCATCTATATTCTAACAGGAATTCTGGGAAATATAGTTTGTTGTGGCATCAGAATTCTCTGATAGAGAAGGCTAAATATCTCACAAAACTAGAAATTCCAGAATTCCATAGCATTGAGACATGGCACTTAAAATGTCGTCCAACTGGATTATTTCTGCAGTGCAGATGTAGCCAAACCTCTTTCAAAGTAAGTGTGCCATTATACTTGACATATACTGGCAAAGATAACATTGTTGTAAGTTGGTGAAAGGACAGTAGGTCAGGCACAGAGCACATAATTTTCATGCCGAAGGTCCCAGGATCCATCCCTCAATTTTCCAAATAAAAGAGAGGTGGAAATCATGTTTCTGGAAGCCCTAGCCAGCGCTGCCGAGGATGAGAAATGCTGGGAGTTGCAATCCAACAACACTTTGAGGGCCACATGAGTCCTACCCCTGAGTTAAAAGGATCTAGCAACAACAAACCTTCTGGATCAAAGGCCTATCCGGTATTTTGTTTCCTTTGTGGCCAAGTGGCTTCCTGCAGAAAGCCCACAGGCAGGACATGGGTGCAAAACAATCCTACTTCCCATTTTTCTCAGGAACTTTTATTGAGACATAGGTCACTATATGTCAGTGGAGGTGCTGTGTCAGCATGAAAACCAGTAGGGGTTGATGTCCTCATTTTCTATTCATTTTTCTAATGTTCTTTTCAGGCCACCTCAAGCTGATAGCCATCACTATATGGTAGAAAATTCTGCTGTCTGACTATGTGCTGTCCAAAGAAGGGCTTCCTTTTATCGGTCATGAATCTCTCACTAGTGGATCCCAGGTTCTAATATTTGGAGTATTTTCTCCCAATCAGATTTCCAAGGGGATATGTACATTCTATGAGTGCTCTTATTGAAGAAAACTGTGGATGGCACAGCAAAAGCCATAGAGATGAGATAGCCACCACTTATTGACACTATATAATTTATAATTCTGTGGAGATTGTATTGTATTGTATTGTATTGTATTGTATTGCTGCCTGGAGCTAAATTCCTTTGGAACCAATCACCTGTTGCCATCTGCTGGTCTTTGCATAGTAAAGCAACATGTTTTTATTAAATGTGAGGGGAAATACATGATTTCTCTCTCTTCCTCTTTCACACCCACATACAATTAAATGAAATTGATTAGGTAATTTGCTGCTATACTGCAGAATTAATGCAGATTGACACTGCTTTAACTGCCATGGCTCAATGCTATGGAATCCTGGGATTTGTAGTTTGTTATGGCACCAGAGCTCTCTGACAGAAAAGGCTAAATATCTCACAAAATTACAAATCTCTTCCATGGCCGTTAAGGTGGTGTCAAACTGTATTAATTCTGCAGTGCAGATGCAGTTTAAGACTCTCTCAAGCCTTAGAGGAAGACAATGACAAATCTCCTTTGCAGTAGCATCATTGAGAGGTGCGGACCACACCAGGTGACACCACAGAAGAGGGGTGACTCCCGGTGAGTCCCCGGCCCTCCCTAGGCCTCGCAGCTGCTCCTTGAGGGTGTGGTGGGACTGAAAACCTCCTCCTTGGGCCCATGGCTTCTCCCTGGGGGCCCGTGGGACATCTTCAGGCACACATGTGCCCCCACGCACACCAGAAATGTGCCGAAGTCATATGCCAAAAGTCCTGCCCCCATAAGTCCCCCCCCATGAGTGACTGCACTGGGTGACACCAACCCTAGGGACACCAATGCTCCTTTGAATAAATAAATCTTGCCAAGAAACCCCTTAGGGTCACCATAAACCAGGGATTACTAGAAGGTACAAAATGATAACAACAATACACTCATGCAGTAACAGAAGTCACAGAGAAATCTTCCCACTGTTTGATTTGTTTGATTTGTTGTGACCAAAAGGGGCCAAATATCGTCTAGTCTTCTTTGTTGTTGTTGTTGTTGTTGTTGCGTGCCTTCATAATTTCCACCTTATGGTGACCCTAAGGCAGACCTATCATGGGGTTTTCTTGGCAAGTTTTTTCAGAAGGGGTTTGCCATTGCCATTTTCTGAGGCTGAGAGGGTGTGACTTGCCCAAGGTCACCCAGTGGGTTTCCATGACCGAGCCAGGATTCCAACCCTGGTCTTCAGAGTTGTAGTCCAATGCTCAGACCACTATACTGCACAGGCTGTCTTGCCTGACACAAAAGTCAGTTTTTAATTTATTCCTCATCTCCCTCCACTGGAATGTATGCCTTGTCTAGATTAGTATATCGTGTATATTAACAGTGAACACATTCTCCAGGTACAGAGCCAGGCTCAGGAGGACCCCAAGTTTTGAAGAAGTACAAAAAATAGCAGAAACAACAAAGGAGGACCCCCTTCATGCTAGCTGGCAACTGGAGAGGAAAAACTGAAGTGGAGGGACAACCGAGTGGAGTAACCTTGATGAATCTTGCCTGGCTAGCTGGAACCCTGAATGGGACCCCTCTACAATACACCAGAGTGATGCAAGTGCAAGTTTTGAATGCTAGGTAGGCTAGATCGGTCAGATCTGGGATGGCTCTTTTTACAGTGGGTGCTTGGTATGCTGGTGTTTGGCTCCAGCCCCCCATACCAAAATCTGTGGATACCCATGTCCCATTAAATACAATGGCATAGTTAAATGGCGTCCCTTATATAAAATGGCAAAATCAAGGTTTGCTTTTGGGAATATATATATATATATATATATATATATATATATATATATATTTCTGAGTATTATCAAGCTGTGGATGCTTGAATCCATGGATAAAGAATGTGTGGATACAGAGTGCTGTCTGTATGACTCTCATGAAACCCATTTTGTTCTCCCCCCCCCCCAGCTATTAATGCCTTCTTACCTGTTCCTTTCCCACCATTTCCTATACCTACAATAATCTTCTCACACAGGGAAGTGATATTTAGGCATCATAACAGGCACATGGATAAGCGTCCCCTTAAGAGTGGGTTTTTTGAGGGGGATATGTTCCTGTGATCCTGTCATATCCTTCTGTAACAGGAAAGGAACGCTTGCCATTGTTGACCCAAAACTGCCAGGAGAACCATTACCACAGAGGGAATGCTCACTTCCACCATTTAATCAGCAACCGCATACCTGGGAGGAGTCCAAAGAAAAGCTGACTCACTATTTCCCTGCTAATGGCAGAACATACGATAATACCAATGAAAGAACTTTTACTATGAATTGTGAAGCCCTTTACACACAAACACACAAACAGTTTAAAACAGCTGGGTTCCCTGTAGTTCTCCAGATGTTTTTGGATCCAAGCTCCCATCAGCCCCCTAGTCAGCAGAGCATTTTTACATATAAGTAATGTTGGGGAGATTGGTTACCAGCCATCATGTAAACCCAATGGGCGACCTTTGTCAAGTCACATTCTCTCAGCCTGAGAAGATGGCAATACAAACCCCCCTCTGAAGAAACTTGCCAAGAAAACCCCATGACAGGGTTGCCATAAGTCAGAAACAACTTGAAGACACACAACAGCAATAATATCTTTAATTCCTCACCAATGAATTCAGTATGCTCCCTTAAGTTTTTTGGTTTTTTTTTTTTAAAGAAAAACTGAAATCATTTCCTAGTAAAATGCATTATTCATATTGTGATTATATCTCTTGGGCGAAACAAAAAAAACCTGTACAAGCTGTTGAGCTCTTGAGATTCTTTCATCAGACAAAATGTTTGAAAGCTGTAATGGAGAGAAGATGTGATATTAAAAACCATACTCTGTCCATATTGTCTTTGGGATGTAATGGGAAGGAAGGAAGGAAGGAAGGAAGGAAGGAAGGAAGGAAGGAAGGAAGGAAGGGTCAAAGGGGGCTCACCAAATGAACTGATGATATTGCCCTGAACAGCCCTAGGAATTCTGGGAGCACAAAGAAAAAAATATGAAATTTCTTTATTTTAATAAATGTGTATTTTATTATTCAGCATGAGGATTAAAAATGCCCCTTTCTAGTATTTTTTAAGTGTCAATCTGAGTTCATTCATACCCAGAAGAAATGTCTTTTAAAAAGCCTTGCTAGTTAGCATAGCCCAGTATGGGGATACGATGGAGTTACAGTACTAACAGCTGGATGGCCAAAAATAGCCCACCCTGGCTTCATTAGAAGACTTTTTAACTCCTGAAAAGTCTGAACTTCAGAGAAAGTGGCACGTTTATGACCAGTGAAATAAGAGAACAATTTAAATTTAATTCACAGCCACAAAAGCTTATGAAGAGAAAAGCAAGATTGATTCAGACTGGGAAGAAATATTTTACTCAGTACTATAATTGGAAGGCAACTCTATGGAAATGTTCAGGGACAGGCTAGTAGGTGGCATGAATGGAGCAGGAAAATAAATGACTACAGTCATTCAAAAACAACACTAGGAATTCTGCAGGCTTTAAGTGTAAAATAAATAGACATTATTTTATTTGTGTAATTTGATTTTAATTCTACGACAGTTTAATCCTGTTTTAAGGGGTGGAAGGGTTAGGTGTAGGAGGATGGAATGTTTTTACTTGCTGTATTTTTAATTTTTTGTACGCCACCCCGATTGCCGAGCAGAGGGGGAGGGTGTTATAAATAAATTATTATTATTATTATTATTATTATTATTATTATTATTATTATTATTATTATTATTATTATCCTTTCATTCTGCATGCTTTAAGTGTAAAATAAGTAGACATTATTTACAGACACAATCCCTGAAAAGAAATAATAATAATTTTTTTAATAATAATAATAATATTTATTTGTATACTGCCCTGTGGCAAACCAATCTGGGCTGTTGACAACAGTAAAATATAAAAAGATTAAAATATAACATTAAAACAG